TAATATATAATATATATTATAGCAACTACACCATTATCACATCTAACAAAATTAACAGTACTTTATCAATATCATTTATTATCCAACCCATATTCAAATTTCCCTGATTTTCTCAAAGATGTCATTTTATAGTTAATTTGTTTGAATTGGAATCCAAACAAGACCCACACATTGCATTTGGTTTTGTCTCATCTTTTATTGCTTTGAGTTGTTGGAGAAGCCAGGTCATTTGCCCTGAAGAATGTCTCCCATTCTCAATTTATTTGCTATTCTTGTATTGCCATTGAACGTTTTTCTCCATCCCCCGTATTCCTGTAAACTGGTAGTCATGTCTAGAGGTTTTGATTAAATTCATGTTAAAATGTTGGGGGTAAGAATACTTCACGGTCAGTGCTGTGTACTTTCTATCCCATCACTTCATGAGGGAAAATAACATCTGGTTGCCCCACTCTTAGTGATACCAAGATTGATCAGTGGATTCAACGTTGTCACCTGGAGCCCTCCATTATCAAGATCCCATCAACCCTTCACCTAATGGTTTTAATAGCCATTGATAATTACTGCTTAGGTCTATTATTTCATTGAGTTGCAAAATGGCATTTTTCTAATTCTGTTACACGTTTTACATTCAGTATTTGGGATTTTTCTATAAGGAAAATTTTAGAATTTTATTCGACAACCATTTAATTACTTCAAATTACAGTATATACAGAAAAAAGCAGGATAAATGTTTGATAACCTTCCCTTTAAAAATATCAGTTTTCAAAATGAGTTGGCATCCTAGCAACCTCCAGTGGTGACCACTCAACCTTCTTAAGTATTGTTCTGAACTCATGGATTTTTATATATTTAATGTGTTTTGATCCATTGTAGTCATTATTGATTTTGTTGCTAAAATGGTCTCGTCCCAGGCCAGTAGGGGTCCTTTCAAGTTGGCTTCTGTTTCCTTTTGCCATGATAGATTTCTTGATTTTTGGTTTGACAAGATATTCCAGCCTCATCTTATACGATTCCAAACCAAAACTTGGAATCAGCCATTTCTCCAACTCTTGTCCACTTGATGGAAAGTAGTATTAGGAGAACATTCTGAGGCCTGGGTTTCCTCACTGCTACTCACTTGTCAGGTCTCTTCTTTTAGTGAAAGACATAGAAAAATGCATACTTTTTAAAAAGGAAAATCATGAGTTCCTACTGATATTTCAGAGTTGAATTTAGGAATATGGGGCCTTTATTTAACATTTTTATTTTGTAACTGTTTTCTCTCTTTCTAAGAAAGTCTTGTTTCCTAATGATAGTAACATAATTACTTGCATTACCATATATTATATCTAACAATTTTAGTAAAATGATTTAAATGTTATTATTAAGACTACCGAATACAGTTTAAGATTTCTTTGCTCTTCCTTTGGCCCTTAGAATAAATCTTACTAAGGAGGTAGTTAGATTATTGTGTTTCACAGTCACTTCTGTGGTTATGTTACCAACTTGATACACAGTTTGATTCATTTGCTTCATTTTTTCCTCAGTTTTAGGGTTTAGTTTCTTTTCCTTTTTAAATTTAATTTTACATTTAATTTATGTAAAATACATAGTTCCAAAGTCAAAACCATGTAACAGGAGACACTCTGAAAGTCTCGCTCCATCCTTCCCCCGTTCTTTATCCTCCTTCCCTCTATAGAAATCATGTTTATTAGGTCTTGGTTTATCTGTTCATTGCAGGTTCGAATAGTAAATAAATGAAAAACTCAATTGTATTCCACCCCCATTTCTTTTCTTTTTTCTTTTTATCTTTCCATTTAAAATATTTTAAATATGTATTTATTTTAATTGAGGTATAATTGACTTAGTATACTAGTTTCAGATGTACAGCATAATGATGTGATACTTGTAGTCATTGCAAAAGGTACTCATTGCACTATAAGTCTAGTTAACATTTGTCATCTTACATAGTTACAAAAAATTATTTTTTTTCTTGTGATGAGAACTTCTAAGATATACTCTCTTATTAGCAAGTTTCAAATATGCAATGTAGTATTAACTATAGTCACTATGCTATAGATTGTATCCCATGACTTATTTATTCTGTAATTGGCAGTTTGTACCTTTTGACTCCTTCACCTAATTCTCCCAATGCCGACCTCCCACCAGCAGTCTGTTCTCTGTACCTGTGAGCTTTTTTGTTTGTTTTGTTTTATTTTTTTGCTTTGTTTTTTTGGATTCCACATAATAGTGAGATCATGTGGTATTTATCTCTCTCTGTCTGACTGATTTCACTTAGAATAACACCCTTAAGATCCTTCCGTGTTGTCACAAATGGCAGGACTTTTTCTTCCTGATAGTATTCCATCGTATGTGTATGTATCCATATATATACATGCGTGTGTATATATATACATACACACACATATACACACAATGGAATACTGAATAGTATTTTTTGTCAGATTAAAAAAATTATTAATTCATCCATTGATGGACACAGATTGTTTCCATGTCTAAACATGGCTATACAGTAATTTCTTCTAGATATTGATTTAGTTGCTTTTGGCCATATACCGAGAAGTGGAATTGCTGGATCGTATGATAATTCTATTTTTAATTTTCTTAAAGGATCTCCATACTTGTTTCCATAGTGGCTGCACCAATTTGCATTCCCATCAGCAGTATACAAAGGTTCCCCTTTCTTCACATCCTCATCAATACTGGTTATTTCTTGTCTTTTTGATAGTAGCCATTCTAACAGGTGTGAAGTGATATCTCATTGTGGTTGTGATTTGCATTTTCCTAATAATTAGTAATGTTGAGCATCTTTTTATGTACCTTTTGACCATCTGTGTGTATTCTTTGGAAAAATTTCTATTGAGATCTTCTGCCCATTTTTAAATCAGATTATTTTTGTTTGTTTGTTTTGCTATTGAATTGTATCAGTTCTTTGTACATTTTTGGATATTAATCCCTTATCAGATATATAAAACTACCACCAAAACCTATGTCAAGGAGCTTTGTGCCTATGTTTTCTTCTAGGAGTTTTATGGTTTCACGTCTTATGTTCAAGTCTTTAATCCGTTTTGAGTTAATGTTTATGTATGGTATAAGATAGCAGTCCAGTTTCATTCTTTTGTATGTGGCTGTCCAGTAGTTCCAACACCATATATTGGAGACTGTCCTTTCTCCATTGTATATTCTTTCCTCCTCTGTCATAGATTAATTGACCACATAGGTGTGGATGTATTTCTCAGCTCTCTATTCTGTTCCATTGATCTATATGTCTGTTTTTACGCCAGTACCATAGGGTGTTTTGATTACTCCACCCCTGTTTCTTACACAAATGTAGCATGTACTCGAGGGCCTCCATGAACGGACCCGCATCTCCTTTCCTGTATTCAGTCTATAGATACATTGCTCTACATATGTCATTTCCCAAATATCATGTTAATGATTACCGTTGTACCCTCTGTATTCTTCAAAATTCCAATCAAATTCCAGATCTTTGGAAACCCTACTGGAAACTTCCGCTCAGGTGCACTCCCCGTCTTGAGCTCCTATGCTTTGTGATATCCATTTGAAACTGCGCATAGACTTAGCCCCTAGCCAATGGAAAGATCTCATTGAGTCCATCCAGTCTAAAAAAGTCATTGATACAATCATCAGGCATGAAGTGAACCTCAGAACAGCGTCCAGAGTTCAGGGAAATAGATTTTTGGATTGGCTGGGGTTGTTTCTGATACTGACAGAGAAGGATATGGGGTTCTGTCTGGTGGCACAGCTAGGAAGATGTTCCAAGGAAGCAATACTTGACTGACAAATATAGTAGTAGACCATGTGTCACTTCCAAAGGTGGGCTTAATTCCAGTTCAAGGAGAAAAAATTGGACTTTTACCTGGGGTGAGGGGCTTGTCCAATGGGTATTGAGTCAAAAGTTCCCAAATCCAGGGAAAGCAGTGCTTTTTCCACTTTTCTTACATTAGGATAAAACATGGCATTTTGTTTGGTGAGGACCTAGGACTCATAAAAGCATGATTTTATCTTGCTCACTGGCCATGTGACAGGATGGTTGACTAAACACACACTCTAAAACTGCATTTTATATTGGCTTCCTTTCTGTACTTTTGTTGTTTGGGTTCCATTAACCTTAATTTCTTAAAGTTCCTTTTAAACTTCACCATTGGGGGCTACAACTATTTTTGGTTTAATTATTTACAATTTAATCTTTTCCCTTTATTTGCAAAAGGATTTGCAGAAGCTTACACGTTTGAACATAATACAGAGTAAGTCATAGAACAGGATTGGCCATTTCAAGAAGTAGATATTACTAGATACCTTGGATGAGTGGAATGGTATGGTGGTTGAGCACTGAATTTGACTCTGAATTTTTTGGCAGTTAAAGATAAGGGTTGCTGTGGTATATATCATCTGAGAATCCGAAAGCAGATGTGTTCCTCTTTAAAGATCAGCCCCTCCCTGACATGAAACTCAGTAGGGATTTGTCACAGGAACCTTGTTTGAGTGTTTTAGGTAACATACTGACCACATCATGTCTTTAATTTTTACAAATTAAACACATAATGTAACACAGAAATACCAATTAAATAACTGCTTATATAAATCGAACTAGTGTTTCATTTTTGTTTTTGTTATTGTTTGTCTGAAAAGTTTATTCAGCTAGCATACAGTGCTAGCCGAAGGGGATAAACTGATAAACCATTTTACGATGCTGTTTGTCAGTATCTAGTAAAGCTAAACAAATGTCTACCCTGTGACCCAAGCATAAAGTTTGGCACGTAGTAGACACTCAGAAATTCATTTTCCTGTCCATTTCCTGTTATTTTTTTCACTCAAGCAACAGCATCACATCTTCTGTGATTACTTAGGCTTCTGTGTTTATAATGGGGAGTGTTCCATTTCGTGTATGATAGATATTTAATATATATGTATAATTGACTTTGAGGATAGATGCCATGAAATAAATGATGCCAATATGTGTTAAGCTCTGTGAAAGTAGGTATTATCTCAATGCAATTGTTTTTAAAAACATTTTTCTTTATTTTTCAGAGGACCCATTCACAAATATTAATAAATAGATCCCATCTCACCATCTCTGCCACACCCCCCAGAACTGAGGTGGTGTCAGCTTTCAGTTGTGTTACAGAAAGAAAGAAGAGAAGCATGGGTAATTCAAAAGCTAATCCAAGGTAGTGAGTTACTCCAAAGTCACTCCAGTTTGTTTGAAAGACGTTATTTGATCTATGTATAGCAAATTTCTCTTCTTAAATTAGCTTTACTTACACTATTATTAGAATGGCTTTTCATTCCTCGAGGTCACAAGTGAGAGAGGGTAATAGATCCAAAATGTACTGAACAAGCCCCAGAAGCCTACTTAGGATGAATTGTTTACCCTTGACATTCTGCCTTCATACTCAGATGTGATTAGGGTGCTGTCCTCACCTTAGGATCAGAATTAGGAAATTGTCCAGCGTCAGTGTTCCAGCGCTGGCAACTTGGGCAGCAGCAGCTGCTGCTAAGAGCACAACCTTTTGACAATTAACTAAAAGATAGTGGATGAAGGTAGAAAGAGTGGAGAGGGAAAAAGTCACCTCGATTAAGCAGTATCCCGTGATGGCCTTCAGTTAACATTTCTCCCAGGGTGAATTGGGATTTTGCAAGAGTGCACTGGAGAATTCTTTTGCCTTCTTGCTGCTTCCTCCAGTGAACAGTTCGTTGCATGGTACCATTCACTCAGAAGGTGCTGATATTTGACTAGGGAAGGCTGTTTGACCACCTACCCTGTTTTTCAAGCTGTCTGTCCTGTGGTGGGGTGGAGGCAGCTGGCCAAGGTGCTAGGAAAGCCCACTTGTGTTTCCTGAGAGTTAAGCTCTATGGTGATGTCCTGTCTTGAGATAGGTACCCAGTAACCCTTTCCCCATAAGCCCCAGGGGTAGGCTCCTGATAAACATAAGGGCTTACTTACATTGTGCCAGAGCCTTTAGGGGCTCTTTCCATGCATTTTGTCTTTGATTCCTCATATCTACTGTGACAGGGTGAGTGTTAGATACACATTCGATAGACAAAGAATTAAAGATTCAGAGAGACTCAGTGACATGTCACAAGTATTTGTCTTCCCATTCTTTGCCCTGGCTACTCTTACCCCAGGTTCCACTTCCTGGCTGACACCTTTGCATTTTAGGGACTTTACTGCCAATCAGCCCTTAATGGGAAGTAGGGAAGGAAGAGCAAAGATACCAAGTAGGGCAAG